TAAATACCAAAAGGAGTGGCAAACGAACACAGAAGACTAGATTCGTCATCCAGATTGGCATGCCAGAATCCATCTCTGAGATCCATGACTGTAAACACAGGCTTGTCTATAACCTGACATGAGATTTCCTCCAGTGATGGGATACCTCTGTTGGATAAGTGCCTTATTCAACATTCGTGGATCCAGGCATAGCCTCAGGTCTCCATTTGGTATTTCCCTCATCACTAAGTTACTAACAAATTTTGGCATTTCCCCTTTTACTTAAGCTATAATTCCCTGGCTAGCTAACGAGTCCAGCCGAGGGGTGGACGCCTGGGCGGCTCCTGTGTACAGGCCAAAATGTACTCCAGGTGTAGTCTGTGCGCTGCGAGCGGCAATACTCAGTGTTCTCCGATTGTACTCCGTGTACTCCGTACTCCTGTGTACACGAAAAAAAGTCGCCCACCCCTCGAGTCCAGCTTTGCTTTCAGCCTGTCTGCTATGGCGAAGATGCACCGCCTGGGCGGACACATCCCCGGAGCTACATCCTCGAATGAGTCTCGAATGAGTCTAGGTAAGCATTCTGAACGGGCCTACTTCTGATAATCTTTGACGAAGTAGGAGTCATGATCGTAGGAGTGACCGAGGGGGCACCAACTCCAAAATTTCGTGCACTGTGAATACACTCTCATAGTGAATATCACTGAATAATCACTGAATATCGCCTGAATACTGAAGGTATTAATTCCATCGTGAACCGTGAATACTAGAAGTTACTGCCCCCTCGGGAGTGACATCCTTGAGCTGTGCAGCAGGATTCACTATGACTGGAGGCGCCCTGCCCTGACAACCTCGACGTATTTTGTGATAGTCTCAACCCTTGCTTTCTTGGTCTTGCAGCATTTTTAAAGTGGCTGTATCTTCCAAACTTGAAACATTCCTTGCCGTAGGCAAGGCACTTGTTAGGTTTATGGCGGGTGTCACACCGCGCACAGTCAAATGGTGACTGAGTGTGATCCACCCAGCCTCTCCAGTGTCCTCCTCTGTGGTATCCACCACGTTGTCGAGGCGGCCTATTGTGACCCTTCGAGGATCCCCTTTGGCTACGGGTCGGCTGTCCCCGGAAACTCTCACCACGATAGTCTCCGCGGTCATGAGGAGCACCTCGGGACATCTGATTATGAGTCCGCTTATTTACTTTCCTCTCATTTACAGAGTCAACTGTTGCTGCGCCTGCATCAGCCGACGAGCGGAGGAGAGTATCACTCTCTTTGGCTGCAGCTTCAATCTGCACCATGGTGAAGCCAGGATTGGTCAACTCAGGATCGGTTGTCATCCCAATGAGATGGCACCTCATCATCGAGTCGGCTACATCTTTGTAGTGACAATCTTTACTAGGTAGATGTACGCCAGACCACGTCTCGCGTAACAGGCTTGGCGATATCTCACGAAACACTGTTACGCTGCGACGCGCCTGGCATACTTCTACCTAGGCCTGCGGCGCTGACACCCGAGGCGGCCAAAGGGCACAGTCGTCAATAGGCCTTCGGCCCTAAAAATCACTAATTTTGTTCCTCGAGGTATCAGTTTGATTAGTTACTCCACCGGGTACCATCAAATATCTGGGGTCTTTTCCGTGTGAAAAACGCCCTCTGGAGCCCAAACGGTCAGAGATAGAGCTAAACGGGCAAAATTTTGGGCCAAAGGGTT